GCCAGGGCTCACTGGTGGTCTCCACAGCCTGCCGGCACAAGGGGTCCTCCCTGCCAGGGCTCACTGGTGGTCTACACAGCCTGCCGGCACAAGGGTCCTCCCTGCCAGGGCTCACTGGTGGTCTACACAACCTGCCGGCACAAGGGTCCTCCCTGCCAGGGCTCACTGGTGGTCTACACAGCCTGCCTGGACAAGGGGCAGAGTAGTGACAACCTTGAGGCTGGGACCATGGGCTCCTTGAACCAAAAAACTCCAGTGTTGAAGCCCCCAAGCACTGGGTTCTGTGTCTTACAGGTAGCACAGATGGTGTGGAAGGGACCCGGGTACCTAGCTCAATTTCCTGTGTTCTTAAAAGTGTTTTTGTGAGTGAACACCTCATCTCTGGGAAAAGTGATCTCAGCATGAAAATCACAGAGACGATTTCCCCTGCTTTCTGGAGTGACAAGAGATAAGACTGACCACCTCAACCATCACTATCCCTCGAGATTCAACAAAACATGCATTATTCACACACGTGACCCCAAAGAGATCAAAGTACGCCTTCACCGGAGCTATGTCAATAATGGCTGTTTTACTAGTTTCGAGAAAAATCACACTTTCTCCAAAAAGCAAGGGGAGACGATAAGAAGATAATTTCAGAAAACAAAAATTCTGGTTGGTAAAATGTCTTCAGACCTTGGAAAAATCTTCAAATTGGGGAGGGCTTACCTTCCTAACCTACCGAGCTGCCTAAGGAAAGACAAAATCCCACATCTCAAGATTTCAAGCCTTCGTGTTCCCACTCCCCTTGGTCACCAGTGGCTTGAGATAAACTGTGTGGGTTTGGGAGTGATCCAGACACACACTAGGCAGGCCCTGAAGCCCTGAGCACCCACAGCCCCAAGGCTTCTTGCCACGACCACTACAGAGTGCAAGTAGAGAAGCAGTCCTGCAGGGGCAGGATCCATGTTTGATACAGGGTGAAGGGTCTGAGGTCTGGATACACAGAAGTCAGATACACAGGGCTGTCAGAGCTTCCTGGTTTGCTGCTGGGTGGATCTTAGCCACAGGATATTCGCTTTTGTCCGTAGATTCCTAACAGCTTTCTAGGATCATCAGGAAACAGCACAGAAGACTTCGAGAAGTCTAATCTTGCAAACTTAACAGTTCCAAGTAAAAGCACCATCAATTTTAGATCTTTACCAATAGCATTAGCGGCTTGTCCAGACGCCTACACAAAGGGTCCACTTCTGCCATGTTGAGCAGGAGCCCACGTACTGACCAGGTGCCACAACACGGTGGACAGCCCGTCTGGCCTCCACAGGAGACGTGCCATTCTCAGGGCTACTTCCAGATTGAGGTGTCCACTGCTTCTAGACACAGGAGCCATTAAAGGGGCCCCTGCCCTTTGGTAAATGCAGAGCACTTAATGGATAAGAGGATAAATTTGACAAGAAGAGCTACACTTACTCAGCTTTATTAGTAGTACGTACGTACACGCCCCAGGCACTGTCGCGAATGTTTTTCATGGATTCATTCATTCAATATTCTTAAATACCCTTTGAGAACTACTCCAATGTTGTAGACAAAGACAGAACCTAAAACCACTTGATGGGGTTCTGCCACCTGGGAGAAGGGAAGCCAGAGTTCCAACATGACAGCTGGGTCGAGTGCTTAGCTGCCATCTCCCCAGCCTTGATGTGGTGTCCACTGTCGGCAGTCCCTCACCTGGACTGGCTTAGAGTAAGAGTGAGCAACAGTTTGAAGGACCGGTCCCTCCCCACCTCTAAATTTGACTCTTCCCTTCTCCCTGGAGCATTCTCTATCAGTATAACCACGTCAAAGACAGATTTCTTACTTTACAGCAAATGAAACCACACAATATAGAAAAATAATCCAGTGCCTGTATTTGAACTAAGAATAATGATAAAGGCACAAATGTCACCACATAATAAAAATGACAACCGTAAGAAGGGGTGCACAAAACGCAAGCTGGCAACCTCAAGGAACATCAGCTGTTCTCAGTTTTACATTAATAATAATTTGCTATTTGTCCATTCAGATGAATCATTAGCTACAGCAAAGCTATGAGAAAAATTTATGGAAGAAAATTCTATCCATTAAATTCCCTCCCTGCTGTAATTTGGAAAGAGAGTATCATCACTCAATCCAGTCACCTGACAGTTTCATCTACTCCACAAGGTACCGGCCGCTGATTGAGCAGCCTGGTTTAGCGTAAACCTCAGGGGAGGGAAAGAAACCACAGCCCCACTGCTGACCACAAAGGTGCAACTGTTAGGGAATCTCCTATTTTAACCACACATTCTACTTTGTACCATTTGTCAAGCTTTTTTAAAAACGAAGTTTATGGGGCTGGGGTTGTGGCTCAATGGTAGAGCACTCGCCTAGCATGCACGAGACACTGGGTTCAATCCTCAGCACCACATAAATGTAAAATAAAGATATGGTGTCCACCTAAAACTTAAGAATAAATATTTTTTTGAAAAACGAAGTGTATATTCTTCTTCCTGCATAAGGGGTGGTCATTTAAAAATTTTTAGATGCTGTAAGAGCTAGTAGAAATTCTTCCAGCAGAACACAGCCTGCAGCCCTCGGTGGTGGGGCAGTACGGTGAACTTGGCAAAGAAGACACCCAGCCCTAGTGTTTCATCCCAAGAATCACTTCTTCCCAGTGCCAGAAAACACCACTGGCCGTGGCTGCCAGGGAACACCAGCTGGGTCTCTCACCGAACTCCTCCCAGGTGCTACCCTCACCCCAGCCTCACCACAGAAGACGGCCATTTCACTTGCTGAAGGCTTCTAGCATCCTGGAAAGAGTTTGCAAAATATACAAATACACCCTGTGAGTTTCCACCCGGTTCCCGGCTGTTTGCCAGGTGCTACTCTTAGACCTCCGTGTCCGACTCAGGTCTTCGGAACATGCCCTCTCCTCCTGGCAATGAACTAGCACAGTCAGGAGGTGCTTGCTAAAGAAGAAAGCTGGGGAAGGGATGGGAGGGGAGAGGACATGGGGGTAGGAAAGACGGTGGAATGAGACGGACATCATTACCCTAGGCACACGTATGACTCACAGGTGGTGCAACTCTACATCATATACTACCAGAGAAATGAAAAGCTGTGCTCCATTTGTGTACAGTGAACCAAAATGCATTGTGCTGTCGTGTATAGCTAATTAGAATAAAAAAAAAGTAAATAAAATTTTCTCTTTAAAAGAAAAAAGAAGAAGGGGTTGGGATTGTGGCTCAGTGGTAGAGCACTTGCCTTGCACGCAGGAGACACTGGGTTCAATACCCAGCACCACATAAATATAAGAAAATAAAATAAAGACATTGTATCAAAAAGAAGAAGAAGAAGGAGAAGGAAAAGGAGAAGAAAGCTGCCCAGGAAGCCACATCAACACCAATCCCCAGCCCAGAGGCATCTCAACTCTCTTTCCTGGCAGAGTCATCAAGTCCTCAGGAGCCACGCTCTGTAGATGCAGCCTTGGGCAGAGCCCACCTGCAACCCTGCAGCTGGACCAGGAAGTGGCTGCTAATAGCAGGACCAAGCACCCCTGGAGGGGGCTCCCCTCAAAACACAAAGCTCTGATTAAATGTGCACACAGCGCGACAAGCAGAGCTGTCAAGGCCCGAGAGAAGCCAGTACAACTGTACTATCTGCCAGAAACTGGGGCAGCCCATCAAGACATGAGGGAAACTGGGCTTCTTGTCTTGAGAGGACTTGAGCACCCAAGTGACTTGAAGTCAACTGTGCTGCCAGCAAAGGATTGCCAGGCCTGTCCTCCTCTGTCCTCTGTCACGGCAGGGGAGCAACTCCCTGGTGCAGGCTGAGGCCCGGGGCCTGGGGGAATTCTAACAATGCAAATGTGCCTTGAGAGCTGCAAGAGCCCGAGTTGAAACGGTCTCATGCCGACTTTGGCATCAGGGTGGTAAACATCGGGGTTGTTGGAGCTGAACAACAGAACGAGTGGTGGAAAGGCTGGAGTCGTGGACGCAGACCAGTGAGCACGCTGGCTGGCTCCTGGCCTCACGGTTGTCATTTCAAGGTGAGACACAGTTAAATAAAGTTGCCCCGCTTGGTCCACAGCACTCACACCTCTCCTCACCCCGAGCATCTCTCTGTAGGGAAAGAAAAGCCCACAGATCTGAACCACAGGCCCAGAGGGAGGTGGTGACTAAGCCAGTGACGCTGGACAGTGGGGAAGGGGTGACCTTCCGCTGCCTGGAGGGGCACGGTCAATCCCAGGGCCAGAATCCCTGCAGGCCACACCCAGCCCGTGCTGCTTCTCATCTCCCTCTCCCTTCCCTTGATGGGATCAGCAAGAGTGACCCCCCCCACACCCAGGGACCCGCAGCAATCCTTGCTTCAGTGACATCCTCAGAGCGCTGCTGGTTTTTCACTTGTGATTGCTGAGAAGGGCTGCTTCTCCAGACCCCAACAACGAGTGACGGACAATCCTTCTCAGGGCCTGAAAAGCTCATCTGTGCTCCTGTCCAGCTCTGCCTTTCACTGGGGCCGGTGGGAGGAGGGACGCAAGACCCAGATGAAGGGCGTGTTTGATAAATGCTTCATGGAGGGTGATTCATCCTCTCTGTCCACCGTCCACCGTCCACTGAGGCTGCCGGGCACCAGTGCTGGGCCTGGCTTAGGGGAAGTGACACAGACCAAGAACAAAACGCAGGCCAGACGTTTTCAAAGGTGTCCACCAGCCCACCTGGTTTTCACCAGCCCCGGTCCAAAGCAAGGGGATAACATGCCTAAAGCCTCTTAGGGTCTCTGAAAGATAGAGGGTGTGTAATTTTATTCTGTTTGGTTTTCTCGAAAGCTCAACAGGCAGGGCTGCTGTTCTTGCATGGGTTATTACAAAGAAGAGAAAAGAGAACTTGATTAAGATTGATTCTGGTGGGCCGGGGATGTAGCTCAGTTGGTAGAGTGCTTGTCTTGCATGCACAAGGCCCTGGGTTCAGTCCCCAGCACCAATAAATGAATGAATGAATGAATGAATAAATAAATAGAAAAATAAGATTGGGCTGGTGTGGGAGACCTTTATAATAAGTTACTGAAATCTCTTCTCTCTTGGATTTCTAGTTCCCAGAGTTCTGAGCACTGAAACATTTTCCCCTTAATGGCAAAGTAGAAATTCTTCCCAAGTGAGACCTTCAGTTTTTTTCCATGTCAAGGCTAGCTGAGGGGGCCGTCTGCAGCTCTGTGCTTTCTGGAAGTCACGGGCTTCTAGGTAAAGGCACCTGGCTCACAGTCACTCCTGACTCTGAAGCAGGTGAACAAAGCTCCTCCCAGTGGAGAAGGCTCAGCAGGTGCTCCAAAGCCAGACAGGGAGCCAGCCGGCTTTCCAAATGCAGCCTCAATGCCACATCACACACAGGACACCTGTGTCCCCAGACTTCACCCAACTACACCCAGCGTGGACCACAGATTAGAAGAGAATACTTACGGTACCGTGGGATATGGTCAGAAAACCGTTTTTAACGGAGCATTTCCTTTTCTGCCACACTTTTCGGATCCTTATGGGTAAGAGGGAAAAACAATAAGAGTTTAGACATTTTGGACACAGGAGATCACGGACGTCTGTTTCCGCTCCAGCAACAGCAACGCCACTGCACCTACCCGTCGCTTTTCTTGTAGAGGTTGCCGTTCCGCTCCGTCCCGTGTTCTTTGTTTCCCTGAGGCTGATGTAAGCTGTAAGCTGTGCTCTGGCGAAGTTGTGAGTCCTAAAAAAGGGCCAAGAATTTGCTTTTTAATACGTCATCCAGGTCCCAATTTTTAAAACTCAGTAACACAGGAAACTTATGCCTAAGTGGTTTTTGTTGTTGTTGTTGTTTTAAATCAGAAAATTTCCCTCTTCGCACCACACCCAAAAAGGGACGTGAACTCCATATCGAGGAACTCCTAACAGCCATCTAGCAGGCTGGAGAAGGAAATGTCGAAAATCAGAACTTCCAAAGTCCCTGAGAGATCCAGCAACTTGGAGACACAGGTTCACTTCACCCTGAGCTTTAAGCCCCTCGCACAGGTCCCTGGGAAGGAAGAGTGGCTGCAAGAAGGAAGGCAATGTGACACGCGGAGAGCAGGGGCTTTCAGTTAAACAGCCAAACATCCTCCACTTAAAACAAGCTACTTTCCCGTTTCCTTCTTGGACAGTAGGAGAGTTAATGAAGTAAGGACCAAGAAGATCACACGCCAAACACCTGGATAAAACAGCAGGGACCCTTCTTCACCTGTCAGTCTCAAGGAGGCGGGCTCAGGCGGCAATGAACCTAGCCAGCACTGACCCTGACCACAGGGAGGTGCAGTCACAGGAAAACCATCCGTGTGGTCAGCTGAAAGCCAGACCAAGTCCACTGTGCCTAGCAAATTCAGAGATAAGCTTCTGCAAGGACCAACCGCGAATCCCCAGGGCCCAAGCCTAATACCTAGCCCCCAACCAGGGCACAACCGATGTTCAACAAGTAACACCAGATGTCCTAAGCTGAGACTCCCAGGCCTCGGGGCCTGTGCTGGAAACTCCAGCAGAGCGCAGGGAGCAAGAGGGAGCAAGACGTGGACAGACCATACACAGGCCAACCAGGCAGGGCCATGTGAGACGTGCCTGCTTCTGCTGACCGAGAACCTCACAGCCCAACTAGGACCAGTTCACTTTGTAACAGAAGAAACAGAGACACAGTAAAATCGATTTGCTCAAGAAGCAGAACTCCTAAAAGCAAAAGCAGAGCAAGGAGTGGAATCCCCGGAGGCTCCTCCCAGACAAGCAGCGGACCATCCTCAGGGAAACGAAGCACAGTGCAGACCAGGAAGGAACCACAGCATGGAAAGCAATGAAATCAAACCAAGAATAAGAGCACCCGAGAACTGGCCAGGCGCAGTGGGGCGCACCTCGGACCACAGCAACTCAGGAGGCTGAGGCAGGAGGATGGGAAAGGAGGAGGCAGGAGACTTTGAGACCTTGTCTCAAAGTCAAATAAAAAGGGCTGGAGATGTAGTCAGCGGTAAAGTGCCCAAGTTCAGTCCTAAGTACAAAAATAAATACCTGCACACCCACTCAAGACCCGAAGCATCAAATGGACAAAATCGCAGGAAGAATTGGGAAGAAGTGAGCTTAAAGGGGCAGGCAAACGCTGGCAGAGAGTCAGGGAGGGTCCTCGAGGCAAAGGGGACAGCAAGAGAAAGACGTGGAGAGGCAGGGGGAGCTGTGGCTGCCTTGCAGGGACGGAGGGCCAGACACCGCAGCCGGAGGCAAAAGACTCACTGAGGCCCGAGGCACTGCAGACCTCTGGGACAAGCCTGCCTGGACACATGACAGTCTGAAAGAGGAGTTCTGAAGCACAGAATTTACTGCTTCTTCTGTTAGGAGTCACGGGTAAGAGACCACTGCCTAACCCAAGGACACAAAGATCTACACCTATAAGTCTCTTTTAAGACTTTTATAACTTTTGCTCTTTCACTTGGGTCTCCGTCGATGCCGGGTTAACTTTTGGTCAGGGCACGCAGCAGGTTCGTCAGCATTCTCTGGCTTGTGGCCGTCCAGCTGCCTCAAGACCCCTGTAAACAGTTCTCCCTTCTCCCCTCTGTCTGGCACACCTGTTGAAAACCCACTGGCCACAGAGGGACGCTTTGTTTTGTGTCGTTGATCTGTCCCCCATATGCCAATACCACCCTGCCTGGATGATTACAGCCCTGAGCGAGTTCTGACATCAGGAAGTGTGAGTCTTCTTTTTGAAGATGGTTTTAGCTATTCTGGGTCCCTGGCATTTCCATAAGAACTTTAGAAGCAGCTTGTCAATCTCTGTAAAAAGACAGCCAGGATTTTGACTGAGATTTTTTTTTTTTTTTTGTTTTTGATGGCAATCACACTAGATCATTGGAGTTCACTGTCACTGCACCAATGACACGTCTTCCAATCCATAAACGCCAATGTCCAGGCTGACTTTTCAAACTCTACAGAGTACATACAGTAACTCTGAAAAAACAAAAAGACAAAAAACAAACAAAAAGCCTCATCTGAGCATCAGTGGTGTGCTAAGGCCTGCTCCACATGAGTGACCATTGGCCGAAGCATGCCGGCCCCACTTGGGAGAAAGAACCTTGTTTTCCATGGGGACCCCCTGGAGCAACCAGGGCAAGCTGCTGGCTTGTGGGGCGAGGAGGGCCCCAGGTCCCATGCTCTCCCAGAGCACCAGGAATGCAGAGCAAGCCCAGCTTTTAACAGTGCCGGAGCAATGTATGGAGAGGAAACAGAAATACTGTTCACCTGTAGGACTCGGCGAAAAACTAAAAATAAACCTTGTCAAAAGACCTAACTGCACAACGAAGAGATATGTCTATCAACCTGGGAAGGGGAAAAAAAGCCTGCATAAAATCAATGGGAAAGTCATGACAGGCTGCTGGGAGCCCTCGCCACACGCCCAAGTAAGGACCGTTGGCAGGTTTCAGCAGCAGGATGAAGGACGCCCACCTCTCAGCAGGACCGGACCCTGTACCACACCTCAAGGAGGACAGGATTCTGTTGTGTTCTTTTCTTTAGACCAGGCACTCCCTGACTCTGTCCAAACACGCAGGCAAACCTGAAGCTACTATCATGTAAAATCTAAAACTCAGAAAAATAGTATTGAGATCTTTCTGGCATAAAACTGAACCTGCTTTAGCACCAATTGCTCCAGCATCCTGGAGGTGACCTCTAGGGGACCTGGCAACAGCCTTTCCCCAGCTCATCATGAAGAAAGGCTCCACCTCCTGACTGTGAGCTCTGACGAGGGGAGAAGTGCACCTCTCTTCCTCTGGGGGGTGTGCGGGGCCTGCACTGAGTATGGACGAGAGGGTCACTGACCACAGAATCAATGCAACATGCCCTCCACTGTGGCAGAGGAGAAGGCCAGCGCAGGACACCAGCTCAGCAGGAGGGGCAGGTCAGGGGCCACCTGGCAGAGGCTGATGATAAGGCCAGATTCAGGGTTCACAAATACAGAAGCCAGAGTCAGGGGGAGATTATGGCCCTGTGGGGGCTCTGCCACCAGACAGCACCACTGTCCAGCCACATCCCACTAGACAGGGAACCTGGAAAAGGAGAAGCAGAACTGATGGAGAGAGAGAAGCCACTGGCGAGGGCTGCAGAGAGGGGAAACACTGTGGTTTCAGCACTTGGGCTTCTAAACCTTGAAACCAGAGCCCGAGCATCTCCCCAGGAGCCCAGGCTGGGCTGTTCTCAAGGTCAGAGAGCAAGGACTCAGCAGCATCGCATGGGTCCATCCCAGCAGAGCCCCACAGGTGATGGGAAGGCAGCGGCGAGGCTGGCAGGGAGAGAGCTCACCCAAAACCCAGCAGTACTGAGGGGCTTAACCCGGCAGAGGATCTTCCCAATGTCAAATGCCAGGGTGCATACATGCACACGCCTCACCGGTTTTCAACTTTTCTGTAAGTCTTAAAATTTTCCTAACAAAATGATGGAAAACCCAAAGGGTAGTATCCTCTTTGCAGAGAGCAGAAAAATACCTTCAGCAAAATCCGAATGGCAGGTGATTTTAGAGTTGTGACTTACGCCATAAAGGCATAGGATCTCGTGATCCAGAGCCCAGCCACAGGGTGATGAAGAATGGCCCGAGCCACCGTGCTGTAGTGGCAGTGTTCCTCACTCCTTAATAGTGGAATTTGAAGCTGGCAGAAAAAAGTGAGGAGCAGTGGCTCTGCCCGCCCATCGAGGCAGTGTCCTGGGGCAGGCCACCCACCTCCATGAACCATCACCACACATCAGTCCGAATTTTCACCATGCTGAATCGAAGCCACACAACACCTCCAGCTCTGTAAGTCACAGAGAAGAACCCAATCGAAGGACGGACAGCCTCAACAGCAAGGCCCGGGATTCAGTGCCTGGCCACTAAGAGGAGGAACACAGGCTGGAACCTGAATCCTGAAAACCATGTCAAAATGAGTGAATTTAACTAATGCACATTTGCTTAGTCCTTGCAACCGTGTTCATGGACTGTCCAATGAACCCAAGTGCGAAGTGTGACGGACAGGAAACATAACAGTCACAGCCAGGAGACTGACTGGAGGACGCGCGGCCAGCTCTTGGGACCTGGAGGACATGGAACAAAGTAAAGAAAGTTCCTCTGAGTTGCTCAGGCCAGCAGGACAGGCAGACTGGCCAACAGAACCCACCAAAGGATAAAGGCTGAGAGACTGTGGCTGTGCCGCCGGGTCTCTCACACTTTTCTGCAAAGCTGTAAGGGAACAGAGCTCTGGCAACGTCCAGCTCTCCCCAGGCTCCATCTGCAGTCAGAGCAAACACAGCTCCTGCCAGGTGCCGGGGCTGGGGCTGCTGACCCAGCTGTTCCTCCTCATTTTAAACCTGGGCTTTGTTTTTTGACCCTCCTCCTCAGCTCTGACCACTCCACCAACGCCCCAGACCAAGGCCTTGATGGGCTCCTGCCCCCGGGCTGGCCTGCCTCCTGTACCTACAGTTCGAGTGCGGTTTCCTCTGCGCTCCGTGTTCCTTGCCTTCCTTTCTTTTGGTGCTTATAACACACGTTTGGGGAGATCAAGTCACTAGGACCCACGTTCCCTGGACTGAGAGGCAGGCACCATGCTGACAGCAGTGCCAGCATCACCCTGCTGGCCTCTCACTTGACAACCCCCATGTGACAGAGGGAGGGCAGAGAAGGCAGGGGCTTCCCCGAGCTGCCCACAGCCAGCTGCAGGAAGGCGCCAGTCTAAGAGGGACAGGCCGTGATGGCAGAACTGCGTGCGGGCGGGTGGGGGCAAGCTGCTCCCTCTTCACAGAAGGACCAGCAACTCTGAACATTCCCGCTCCACCATGTCGGACATGGAAATTCTTTGGCCTTTAGCAAAATCTACTACAGTGAAAGAGGAGGGCTAAAATTTAAAGTGCTGCTAGCCAGTAAGATGTGTGGAGAAGAAACGTGGATTTTGAAGTTCATGAACAAAACATGCAGACCCCTCCGATTTGTTAAAATACCGAGCTACTTACTCTCCTAGACTTCGGTCACGAAAGGCAAGTGCATTTGGGAGAAAAACAACAACATTCAGTTATAGTACAAGATCTTACAGCAAAACACCGACAGTGAATGCTCTGCTCTGTTAAGCAGATGAATGGTTATTTATCCAAAACCCACTGGACATTTAGACACATTCCTTTATTGACAAGGAGGAAGGTTTACGTTAAATTCACTTTCTACTCCAGCTACTCAGGAGGCCGAGGCAGGAGGACTGCTTGAGTCCAGGTGCTCAGGGCCAGCCTGGGCAGCACAGTGACTCTGTGACTAGAGGAAAAAAGAAATCTACATTGTAATATCCACATTGCAGCAAACACATCACAAAACTGCCTTTAAAATTTACCTCCATGTTCTTTTCATGAGCCCCCCCCCCCAAATACAAATTTAGAGGGAGCATACAAAGCTGTCACTACACAACAGGTGACACAGGACAGACCATGGACATGTGCCCCTCAGGACAGAGCCCTAAGAGAAGCTCACTCCTTGTGTCTTACAGAGTAGACTCAGGGCCCGAAAGAACCCAGGCAGCCACCTGCTCTGTTCCATCCCAAGGAGTCCAGACATGTCAGGGCCAGCAAACCACAGAGGTCCAGGGGCATAAGTGGCAAGTGTGCAACGTGAGAAAGGCCCCAAGAAACAGCCAGCTGGCCACTGGGAGCAAGAAGTCCCACCCTACATCAATGCCCATGGTGGTGCCCCACCCCCCAGGACAAAACAAAGAAGATGCTTTGGCAAAACTAAAAGAACACACGAGATGCTCAGTGCTGCTTGCCACGGAGAATCCCTGGCATCCAGGATTTCCCACCCCTCAGCCCCCAGGCCTCCGAAACCTAAATAGCAATCTTTCAAAATTAAATCCCCTCACCTCTTTCTGCTCCACCTGCAGTGCTGACTTCAGGATGTCTCGGAGCTGCATCAGCTGTCTTCGCTCTTCATCCTGGGCCTGCTTGATCTTTAAAGCCAAATGGAGCAGAGAGAGGTGAGGCTGCAGCAGGGAGGTGACCGCTCCTCTCGCGGGCCACACCCTCCCCAGCCACCCTCCATCAGGCAGGGTGGGGCGGCCCCTTGCTGGGTGGCACAGCGAGCTCAGGCCAGATGGCACACAGGACAGGCACAGGGGCTGCTCACCGTGTGCAGATCCGTGGACAGGGTTTCAATGGAAGGCCTGAGGCTTTCTACTGCTTTCAGTCCGTCCTGGAAAAAACTAGGGGAAGAAAAAACACAGGTTGTGCTTCACAAAGGAGAAAATAACCTTGTCAGAGGGAGAGAAACTTCTTTAAAGAAAAATGACTGGCATCATTATCCAACTCCGGGGGGGGGGGGAACGTCTATATGAATAGAAACTTAAAATCAGGCAAATCAAGAATAAAAGGACACTCAAAACTAGAAGAATAGGAAAGGAACTACAATTAGCCTGAGCACTTGTCATTTTTCTTGACCCACATAAATTGAGATCTTCGGTTGACAATGAGAAACAGGATTCTACTGAAAATGGCAGCAAGAGCTTTGATTCAGAGTCTTGTGAGCACCTAAATGGAAGGATCTGTGGCCAAGGGAAAAAAGCCACAGGGTGCTGCAAGAGTGAGACTGGGAGAATTTCCTCCACAGCAATGGCCACGTGAAAAAGAGAAGGAACACAGTAAAACCAACCAACCAACCAACCAACCAACCAACCAACCAACCAACCAACAGGCAGCTCTGAGGCACAGGCCGCGCCCACTCCACCCACAGAGTGGACAGCGAGGTGGGAGCACTGAAGGTCAAATAGCAAAAGGAGGGTCGTAAGCGCAGAGCTGGAAGCTGTGAGGTCACTGGTGGCGTGGGCAGGGCCCGCGCAGCAGGTCAGTGCCGCCTGCCCCAGGCCAGCTGCTGGGACCCTGCTGGGGAATGAGGAGGCCGCCTCCCCACAGGCTCTGGACCACACGACCCTGCGCTGCCTAGGTGGTTGGCCCTGCCGCCTCCAGACACAGTGGCAGCCCCACAGGCCTCCTCGGTCCCCCATGGCCACCAAATTCTTCAAGCCTCAGGCCTCTGCCCGTAGCGCCTGTTCCACCCAGCTGTGTCCATGTTGAAAAGGGCTCTTCCTGGTAGATTCTCCCGGCATTTTGTCCTTCGCTTCACCACGTGTGCCACACTGGCAACTGTGTGTTCAAAGTGGGATTATCTACCATGTGATTCCCCCGTTACGTCTCGAGTTCCAGGACGGAAGGCAGGGAGGGCCAGAAGAGAAGTTGCCAGCTTCTGCCTGTCGCCGGACCCGAGGAGACTACCTGCAGGAGGTGATGTGGGTCTCACCTGTGCTCCTCTCAGGTGAGGTTTCAGCCTTTAAACTCAGCAGTGGCCTCATGGGACCATTTTTACACCAAGTGTCTCGTGGGCTGTGAAAACAGCACAGAAGGTGCTGCTGGGCCTCGGGTCAGCAACGGCCAGGAGGAAGGGCAGGAGCTCATGCCGGGGAGCTGCAAATCACTGCAGCCAGTCGAAGGCGCCGCAGCCTGGGATGTTCTCACCTTTCCCTCTGGATACACACAAGCTCTCATACTCCCGATCCTCTAGTTCACCCAACTCATCTCCTTCTGAAGACAGTGCATGCCTCTGGCGTAGCCCCTCGTCAGAGAGACCCACCAGGTGCCTCCCCCAGAGCTAGGGCAGGAAAGCCAGGTCTTGCGCACCCCTGCACTTCCCCCTCCCAGCACCAGGGCTGACAGGGAGCAGATGTGCCTTCAGGCTGCAGAGGAAGTCTGGAAGCCCCGCAGAGCTGCAGGAGTGAGGAACTGTCCTGTTCCCTTCTGTCTTGAACTCAGATGATTCTAACGTTTGATTTACAAATTTTCTTTATGTAACTATTTCTTTAATCACTTCAAATTCTTATAAAACAGGAAGGAAGGGAGGGAGAGAACATGGGTGAGAGAGCTAGGGCTGGGAACAGGAACAATGTTAAGGAGGTTAGAGGCAGAGGTGCCCTGGGGAGCGGGAGCAGGGGCTCTGCCCTGGCACCTCCGCAGCCTGGCAACTCCCCCGGAGGTGGGAGCCCTGAGAGGAGCCAAGGGCTCAGGGAAGGCTTTCTCCTCACGGCGACTGTTTCCAGCACCGCAATGCACATCCACTCGGAAGAACGATGTAGATTTGCATTTACAGTGGGGACTTCGGCCTCCCTGGTCTTCACCATCTGCCTCCACCTGGAGAACCTCCTCCCTCTGGTTCTCAAACCCCATCTTTCCACAAACTCCGTAGGAGGCATGCTGCGGCACCCGGGTATACTCTCAAAATGCAGCCAGGCAGGAGGGGGAGCTTCCAGGAAGGAGCAGAAGGGCCGCCTTGCTGGCTTGGTCACCATGGCATTCCTGAGCCCACGTCCCTGGCAGATTATTCCTAAGTGGAGCCCATTAACATTTTTCTAAGCTTCAGTCAAGGAACTTAAACCATGGACAATTATCAGATCAAGTTTTGCTTTTGATCGCACATTTCCCCGCCTGCCTGGCCAGATTTTCAAGCCTTGAAAATGCTCCTGCTGAGATGCGATCGTGATCTCCAGCGTTCCTCTGGCCCTACAGCACGTGACAAATCGCCCCACCCCCAGGCTTCAGGGATCACAGTCTAACATCACACTCCGTTCCTCATTCCCTGAGGGTCTGCCCTCCCCTCACTCGAGAACAAGCTTCTCCAGGACCGTGGACCAAGTCCGATCAACTCAGCGCCCCTAGTTCACGGGACAACAGCGGGCGTCATGGGTCCAGCAGGGAGGTGCGTGCTGGAAGAGTAAGTTCCTCCACATTCAGTCCACCTGCCAGAACCCGGCCATCCTGGGTTTCAGTGAGGGTTTCCCAGGCTGCCTACTGCACTGGAGAACGGGACCCTCCCTCTGTAGCAGCCCAGGCTGACAGAGGAACTTTCAGGAAATCCAGGAATGAGGCAGAGATGCAAATTATTTTCTTAAGTGAAATAAAAGACAAAGAACATGGAAGTATTTCTTAAAAAAAGAGAAAAGCAAAACAAGTTTAAAAAACAACTCATGCACATTCAAGGACTTCTCTTGGTTGAGCCAGTATGGCTTCCAGGACCTCAGTGAAACAGGGTGGCCTCATGCACCGCCAGTGGCCGGTGTGCAGGGAGGGTTCCTCCGGCAGAGCTGGGCTTCTGGGCCAAGAGGGTTGATGAGAACTTCAATGAGCGAACATGGAGGGCTCCCACAGGTGAAACGCACACAGGCCCAGATCCCCCATGAGCCACAGCAGAGGCTCAGCCTCCACGTTTTATCCGCAAATATGAATTTAAAAAGTCAAAGCAGCGTAACTGATTTAGGATCATGCAGTGAACACACACACACACACACACACACACACACACACACACACACACACACACAGATCCAAGAAGGAAGTAACGGAAGATTCTTATTTTAATAGGTCACTGAGCTTATGCCCATAAAAGGCCAACTAGTTCACTTTCCACAAGGGTCTGTTGCTACCCAACTGATAGTTTGGGCAAAATAAAGGGAAAAAAAAAGGAAATCCCAGAATAGCTTCTTCCTAAAAATAAAATATCAGCAAGGAAGCGACCCACTTCCTAAACTGCCTCATACCAGGTTAAACGAGACCTAGAGGGGGGATCTGCATGTTGCGGTCACGTGTCACAGGAAATGAGTCTGTCAAAGAGCTCATCTTGAAAATCCTACAGATGCAAGGTCTTCTCGCCCTCTGGGACGGTCTCTAGATTTTCAACCTGGCACAAGCACCTGTGCACACACTCCCAGCCATCCGACCTTCGCTGCTCCAGCAGAGCTGTCCTCTCTACACGAGGCCCTGCTGCACACCTGTACCAGGCACCCGTGCCATGTCCTGAGGGACACCCAGTGAGTGGCACGGACCCTCCTAAGAGGGTGTCCTTCACTCTTAGAGAGATTAGACCAGAGGACACCATGAAGGACACGTGCAGAGGGTGCCGCGGTGGTGCAGGAGAAGCCACGTGTGCCTTTGGGAGACGAGAATGCAGCTGAAGAGCTCACAGTCCAGGAGCCAGGTCCCGGGAGAGGGCAGGAGCTAGGGAGGGTCCAGGGGCACGGGACAACATTCCAGGGAAAGGAGCGATGTGTGCACAAAAGGCACAGTAGGGCCACGTGTGGTGAGGTGTTTGTGATCCCGGTGACTCAGAAGACAGAGGCAAGAAAATCACAAGTTCGAGACCAGCCTCCACAACTTAGTGAAACCATCTCAAAAACAAACAAGAAGAAGCAAGGACTTGGGATGTGGCTCAATGGTTCAGCACCTCTGGACTCAAACCCCATTACCAAAAAAGAAGAAAAAAGAAAAGGCACATCAGCCTGGGCACAGCCTGTCTGGGGAAGGTATGGAGACAGGCGATTCTACCTCCAAAAGATTCCGCAAGGTAGTCCCACCTCCCACCCCCGCTGCGCCCAACAAGTCACCGTCCTCTCTGGCTGCACCAGGATGGGAGCCGCATGCCCACACGAAGGTCCTGTCTCTGGCTTCTCCTTCCAGAAGCTGCCCCCTGTCCCCGCTCATGTCTTGACCCAGCCACAGCCAGGGTCCATGCATGGGCCTCCGGAGCATCTCCACCAGTGGAACATACCATCACCAGCAGAAGAGCTTTGCTTCTGGGCTTCTTGGATCAGCAGAACCCCAAACAGGGCCTGGCACACACAGGAGCACCATGTGAATGGATCCTCTGCCTAAAACCATTCCAGGACATCCCAACACCCGGGGTCAAATCCTGAACCTCAGGAGACACCGAGGCCGTCCACGTGCAGGTCTTTCCACTCACCCTGGTTCCACCCCACTCCTTCCCCACTCCTAAGGCACCTGGCCTTTTCCTGCCTTCAGACCCCAGCGCTCCCTGGACCGCCCCTCCCCACCCACCTGCCGGCTCCTTTAGATTGCAGAACACAGTCTCCTAATCCAAGAAATATCTGAGTACCTGCTGTGTGCTAGGCACAGTGCTCTGACTGTTGGAGAATCTAACAGTAACAACACAGAAAAGGAGAAAAGAAACGCCACCCTGAGTCTCTGTCTAAACTGGGTTATTCTATCATATTTGGTCTCACATTCCTACACTGCAGAACACTCATCAACATCCGGTTTTTCAGTTCAACCCCTGACCTGACTCTGGAGCAAGGAGTCCTCCTGTCCCCAGCACAGAGGACACGACACAGCACACACTGGATGAGTCTGTCGGTCAAGGGCCTAAACGGCTTTTAATAGACGCCTGCTTTTGCCAGCAACTGGGGTCTGGGAGCAGAAGCAGGTGATGAGGCCGCTGATGCAGGGCCGAGTTGAGGTGAAACATGAAGTTTCTCCTTCTTTCTTATTCGCACCCTCCCTCCTTCATCAAGGTCCCTGGCCTTATAATATCATAATAAAGGAAAGACTTTTCCTAATTTAATACACTGTATCAACATCATCTCATTTCTCTTAAAAACATCCAAAATCATGGGTCAGATAAACCAGTTTGCCCCTCACACAAAAAGAGCAAAAATAAAAGACATTTAGGAACTACTGTGGATTTTTTAAAATATTGTATACATATTTTTACTTTTTACTGAGATATAATTACCAAACCATTAAGTTCACCCTTCGAAAGTGGAGAGTAAGGTGGGTTTAGTATATTCTTGAAGTTGTTCAATCAGCACCAACTTCAGAACTTTTCATTACCCCTCCAAAGCAAGGCTGTACCCATTAGCAATCATCCCCCAGGTCTTCCTTGCTCAGGCTGATGCAGCCATAATATGCTTCTTTTTTTTTTTTTTTGAGAATTTCAATATTTATTTTTCAGTTTTCGGCGTACACAGCATCTTTGTTTGTATGTGGTGCTGAGGATCGAACCCGGGCCGCACGCATGCCAGGCATGGGTGTGCTACCGCTTGAGCCACATCCCTAGCCCCATAATCTGCTTCTCTATGAATCTGCTTATTCCTGGATTGTCGAAACCAAACCACACAGGACATGGCCTTCTGTGTCTGTCCCCCTTTATGTGCCAGGTTCTCCAGGTTCACTCACACAGCACATACCGGTGCTTGGTTCCTCTGACTGGGGATTCCTAAATGACCTACAATACTGCATGCTACCACTCCCTGGCAAACATTCAAATGACATCATGAAAAAGAAAGGGACTTACTTGCATTGGGCATGAAAATACTTGATCAGATTCTGAAGTAAATCCACTCCTTTCTTAATCTTGATTTCATTGACCTTCAGCAGATACTGTTGAGAAACAAAGGAGAGACGATGACAGAAAGAAGCCCAAGCGGGGCTTTCACGGGAGCTTCTGGAGATGGGTTAATTCTTCCACTTCTTCCAGGTCCTTGACAATGAGCAGAGCCCACTTGACTCCTCTGCACACCGTAACTAAGGCTCCTTTCAGTAAGGCCATGTGAACGCTCTGCCAGGCGGATAATTAGATGTTCAAGAGCCAAAAGCTCCTGCTAACAGGACACCGACCTTATCCTGCAGGGACAGCCTTGCCCTGGCTGCAAGGAAGGAGGTACTGGAACAGATGGGGTTTCTAACCATCTTGGATCTTCCTGTGCACAGGCTGGTGTTGAGGCCCCTCTCTTTAGGCAGGTCACCGTCCAACACTAACAGTTACAACTCTGCCGCTAAGACCCCTGGCACTGTGTCACTGAACAAGATACTCCCTCTAAATATGACTGTTTAAAACACACATCTCTTTGAAATTAGTTAAAGCCATTTTTAACTTGGAGAATTCATTAGTGACCACAAAGATATCAGAAAGCCCTGGGGATCTATAAAACTAGCATCAAGAAAGACATTTGTTCTTCCCTAAAGGCTTACAGAACAAGCACTCCACTAAGTCCCCATCGCTCCGCTGTTAGGAGGACTCTGACATCTCATCTGAGACAGAATGCCCTGGCGTGTCTGTTGACCCTTACCAAGACACGCAGGCTCCCAGGTGTCACACACGGTAAGCCCACATCCGCGTGCTCCCAAGGTGGGTGGTGCACCCCATAGACAGGAAACTGTTCTGAAACCATGAGCTACAGATTCCCTTTTCTCTGAAACAACTGCCCACGAGGCCTCTTCCCCCTTCCTTTTGGTATTTACTCCTGGTTAAATGGACATCTGGCAACATATCAAAATGATACATCTTTAATCAAATGCTTGGCAGTGTCTCAAAACTTAGAGTCGGTGTATCCTTTGACCCAGAAATCCTCCTTACCCGAACTCGTTCTAAGGGATGATCATAAACGGTTAGAGAGGGAATAGAAAAGACTCCCTGCAGCCTGTTCACAGGGACGTGCTGCTCTGAGCAGGCAGGAAGCCCGGCAGAGGTGGCAGAGGTGGCAGAGGTGGCAGTGGTTTCTTCCCGCACACCCACAAGAAAGGCACAGAAACGGAAAGGCTTCGAGCAACGGCTCTTGTGGTTGGAGGGTCTCTGGTCTTGGAGAAATGCTCCCAGGGTCTGTCCTGTGCCTCCCCCTTCCCAAGGTGAGGCTGAGGCCGCAGGATGGTGAGCCCAGGGCACAGGGGGGAGCAGGGGAAGCTGGGGAGAGCACACTGCCCCTGCGGGAGGACCTCACAAAGTGCCTTGAAGTCCTCCCTCTGCCTTCTCACCTATCTCCTGGGTCACTGATTCTGTGGGGACCCAGACAACTCATTTAAAAGCACCTCAAGTGTTTTAGCTAATTCCAGTGAGAGGAGGCAAGTTTGAGAAAGTCTGTATGTGAGGCCAGAAAGAAGTTCTCTACTTTTAATAAAAGGTTGCTGCTAGAGTCACCTACCCACCACGAGACAAGAATCCCCCAATGAAATGAGCCGTCAACTCAGAAGCAGAGGTCAATGATCCATCGGGCCTGTCTCTGAAGCCTCAGGTTGGAGCCATACTCCTGGGGAGGCCGCAGTGGGGGTGCAGGCCACAGGAAGCCTGGTGACCTGCCGTTCCAGCACCTTACCTCGCACATCTGCAGCTGGAAGAACCGCCTTTCCTTCTCCATCTCTTCTGCAATTTCTGCTCCACTTATTTCAGTGCGAATCATCCCATGAAGCTTGGCATGCTCCTTTTTCTCCTTCTCTATTTTGGTTCTATATATCGGGGAGAAAAAAAAAAGCCCACGTAAACCAAGAGGCCTGTTGGCACAGAGGCTGCACTGGACAGTCCTGAAGCTGTCCATCAGCCAGCCCGTGAGAAGAATGTTCAGCACACATTTTAGAACAGAACGGCATCTTAATGCTCAAAGAAAAAAAAATACTGTCATCATAAAAATGCCAAACTTAGCCTTCCCACAACTGACTCAGCACACACTTCCCAAGCACCTGCTTGGCTCTGCCCTGGGCAGAGGAGGTAGGTTTGCACGCACCTCGATCTTCCCTACTGCGCTTCTCCCTAGACGGGCCTGCTCCCCGCTTGTGTAGCCGGCCAGTTCTCCTGCCTGGCCTGCCACGGCGTGCACGCTGCAGAAGAAAACAAACTTCCTCCTGATTTCTTCCCGCTCTAATCCCCTGTCCTAAGGATCTCAGGCTGAATGCTTATTAGCTAAATGTCAAGTGCGCACTTTAGCACCAACCAGTGGGAGCACATCTAAGAGAAGAACCAGTGTCAAAGGAGCCACAAAATCACATCAGCTATGAAGGGCTGGAAGTCACTGTGAATATTTATTCTAGAGAAAAGGAAACTAAAGAAAGCCAAAGGAAATCACTCCATCTGAGGGGCTGTCGGGCAGACCTGGGAAGCGGCACTTCCTGTAGGGCCTCGAGGCGTGCACCTCAAGACAGGTGGCACTTTCCTAACGGCTACTCAGAGATGAAATGGGCTGCGTGGGCCTCCAGAGGTCACCTTCACAGGAGGTGGTGCAGGGGTGCATGCACAGAGTGTTTAAGAAGAGGCAAGAAGAAGAGTATGTTTCTTTAGCGTGACGCTTAGTGCTGGGCAGGTGCATCCTCAACAATCCGAAGGACAAAGAAGAACGTGAGCAGCGAAGGCCTTTGGTAGGGATGCTGCTCAATGAATTCAGGCATCTGGGAGGGGTCAGACTGGAAGGCCCCAGGCCCCTGCACCAGGCTCACTCAACTCCAAGGTCACCGACACCCTCAAGGGAACAAGACAGTGCAGACCTGAGCCATCTCTCTTAATTTCACCGTGGAATCACCAACCACTACACACATGAGGCCTCTTGGGATAAGGAACCTTGTTAGAGGGTAAAGCATTACCTCCTTTGTGTAGCCTAGGATACTTTCAAGATAAAAGGGCGCTGCTCCCTCCTCCTCGGATTCTGGTGTGTGTGAGTAGCTGTGCTTCTGCCCTAAGTGGGTCTTCATCACACAGAAGGTTATGTTAGCCCCCTTCCTGGACCCTCCCCTCAGGCCCAGACACCTCTTTCCACAGTCTTCCCCAGCACCCCCCCCCTGCCGCCGCCCCACACACCACGGTCCAGCTGTGCACAGAAGCATCTCTAGGCAGGCTGCTGAGGGGGGTAACAGGAGCAGCTGGATGCCAGGCAGCAGACCCACCTCCTGGCCCTGGCTCAAGACCCTCCCACTGGGAGACCATCTGTAAAGCAGGAATGCTGATCCCTAGTCTCTCATCCAACTGGGCCCAGATGGAGAATGCTAAAGGGCCAGGGACAATGGATTGGAGCCTCTCTGGGTGGAACAGAGCTTCAAGATCCTGGGGCTCAGCACTCCCCCGAGCCGAAATCATCATGCACCATTAGTGAAACGCCATACTTGGAATCCAAGCAAATCTGTGTGGGAATTTAACGTTTCTATAAACAGAGTAAGTATCAAAGGTTGAGTATTTGTTACTTTGATCTTTGTGATCCTTCACTACTGAAAAGACATCCAAAGCTGGTTTGGAAAAAACCCACTTATATTCACATCTGAATTGACTTCCTTCCTAACACCTCTCACTTTACCAGATGGCTTTGTATGGAAGTTTCTATTTCCATTCAGAAAAGTCTCCAATCCCAAGGCACAGAGATTATGCAAAGTAAACACGAGGCATTTAAAAATGTTTTCTTTTTTTTCCAGTATTTAAAATAACTGAAACCCCTCTTCCCCACAATGGCCAGCTCGATTCTCTATGGTTCAATTCTCCCCACCCTAGGAATGAGGGAAACATTACACAACTGTCCACCGTCAGCAGGGGCGAGCTCGACATTAGCAGAGCTCACAGTCTGTGTGGAAGAGCCGACAGACGTCTTTCATGCTCTTCTCTGACAAAGCAATCAAGTAAAGCAGAAGGAGAACGGTGTTGCAGCATCTTTCTAAAACCAAGGAGCCCGGTGTTCCAGAAACACAGACCCAAAGCTAAAAGCAGATGGTTTTCATGAATCATCAAGAAGACAAAGTCTGAGAACTGCAACGCTATCACAAACAGCAGTAAAATGAGAAGTATGTGAAGACAAACACCTCCTGGAGAGACTGGTCCTGACTTCCCTTGGTAGGTTCTGCACATGACACGTATGACCACCATAATGCCACAGAAAAAGAGACAGGGCTCTGGAAGAGGCCACCCGCCGAGTGCAGTCAGCACCCACAGAAGCACCTGTCTCATCAGGAACCGTGCAGCGCGGCTCCGGTGTCCTTCCTGGATCAAGGTTTATTCAGATGATCCCTGGGGGCACTTAAAATTGAAATCTCAAGTCACCTACACATATTTTTAAAAATGAAAACACTCACATTTTGGTTTCATAGTCCTTCCAAGCTTTATCAAAGGGCTTTTTCAAGTCCTGTAAACAGAGAAGCAGCAATTAAGCAGGACAAATCATTAACTTCTGGGCAAAACACACTTCCTTATCCCTAGACCAGTCCTGAACAGAACATTAATTTCTGTAATAAATGATGGACGAAACCCCATGAAAAAATAAAGAACCCGGAGCACAAGCTTTTAATAAGACTGGAGCTGGCACTTCTTTCTTTCTCCTTTTAGAATATTTATTATAGAAGATGCCAAATGTGCGTAAAGGTACAGAGACGTGTCCATGTACCCATCACCCAGTTAACAGGCCTGATCCATCATCTGTCACCCCTCCTGACTCTCTGCCCTTGGAATATCCTAAAATTGAATCTAGAAAGAGAAGATCTGGAATAACTCAGTACCTCTCTCTAAAAGAAGGGGACTCTGACTTTTCCCATTAGCATATGAATCTCCCTGACACACCTAGCCCTGACTGGAGCCTGACAATCAGGATATAAAAGCCACCCAGGTTCCCTGGGGTTCCTCTGCACTGTCTGGAGATGACACTTAGTATTCTCTGACAGCCTGGCTCAAAAACTTCTGCACCCTTAAAATTCTGTCTAATCGTTCCTACCTGGCAATGTCTCCTGCACTGGGGTTCTGTGGGAGAGGAAAACCCGACTTCGAATGTTTATCTTTTGGCCCTTCAATGGCCTTGCAAAGTCCTCTGGCAGCTGCCACCACGGCTTCCACTGTGGGCCTCCCCTCCCTGCCCAGGGCACCCTCCCTCTGGTGGTTCTGACTAACCCAGATGCCCTGTTCTCCAGCCCCAGAGGGAGGATGGGCAATGCTCTCTCCTGGCACATTCTGTAAGGGAGACACCAACAAGTCTCCGCAGAGTCCCAAGACAGGTCAGCCAGGACTTCCAGATAGGCCCAGGAATCACATACAGAGTCCATCAAAGAACTCGACTCCCAAGAACTCAGCCAAGACCCCTCCAGCCCTGCCTGCCCCTGTGAAGCAGGTCCGTCACGGCAGGCATGTCCTGAACAGCCACCAGCCTCTGGGGCGCAGAACACGAAGCCAGCCAGTCCCTGAGAATGCGACCCTCCCTTCAGGACAACCGTCCTGGCTGGGTCCCTTCCCAGCTGTGAATCTGTGGCACGGCGCTAACCGAGGGGCTTGGCCGTGCTCAGTCTCCACGACAGAGCCTCACTTCCCTTCGCTTTCTCCCCTCCCCGAGACTGTGGCACCCAGAGGATGACCAGCAAGGCCAGGCGTCACCATGTTCTGGCCCAAAGGCGGTGTCAAATGGCAAACCAAAGGACAGAGAAAGCAAAAGCGCCCTGTTGTCCCAGGAGGAATGGTGGCAGCTGCCCTGTGGGGCCATGACCCAGGCTGGGACTTTAGGAGGTGTGAGGCCCGAGACCCGGACGGAGTCCTACCCCTTTCACTCCTTTCAGGTCCCCCTTCAGCAAACTGTCCAGAGGAAAGGAGATTATGTTGTTCATATTCTGAATCTAAAAGACAAAAACAAAGAGGACATTCTTACTCCGTTTGCCTTGTAATCCAGGTAAGCAAGATGTTAGAGAGGGCTTTTGGTCACGACTAAACGGCCCTGAAAATCTGGCCAGCGCAGCACAAGAGTGGAGGGCCTTACGCAGTCCCGTGCCCTCCTGACACAACCATTTCACAGATGAGATGCCTGTCTAAAGCATCTGCGTGTTTTACACATACCTAACATACGTCTAATGGAAGCTCTGCGTGTTTTACACATACCTAACGAAAGGCCGTGTGCTTTCTCAATAGTGAACCTGCACTGTTCAGCTCTGAAGTCTGTGCAAAGGCAGTTACAGTGAGGAAAATGTCTCTGAAAGCAGCAACGACAGACCTGGTCTGAAGAACCCGAGTGAAGGGAATGCCCCTGCAGCTCTCAGGCTCCCCACTCCATGCACAGAGCTCCCCACTTGGAGACAGACCAAAGGAGAGGCAGATCCAGGCTTCCATCTGCCGGGAAGGTCCAGGAGTGAGTGCTGAGTGCGAGCGCAAGGGGTGTGTCGGTGAGTGCAGGAGGAACGGGTGTGTCGAGGAGTGTGTATGGAGAGCGTGAGGGTGCACATGGGTGCCAGTGTGTGTGAGGTGTGGGGAGCATGGGGGAGAGCGGGTGGGTGCAGCTGGAGGAAGGAGACCAAGGGCAGAGTCTTGCAGCCCTGTTCCTCCTGCAGCAGGAAGGCAGGAGACTGCTGGCCGGCACCAAATCCAGTGGAATCCACCCTCCTGACACCCGGGGCACACCAGGCAGGCCAGTCTGTCACACCGGCAGCTTGAACCCCAGCAAAGTCAAAGCTGCAAAGCCCCAGCCAGGGACAACCTCCAGGCAGGGACTCGCATCCTGAGCCCCCAAGACTCCCTCTCCAGTGAAGTCCTCCCCGCTCAGTCCTCCTGCAGTTGGCAGGACAGCAGCTCCCATGCCGGGCCTGGCCTGAGCCTACCCTGGGCTACCAGCTCCAATTAACAGGCCCCGAGCAGAAGCGGGGCGGGGCACAGACTTGGCATTCACTCTCACCACTGAGCAAATGAAACCATTTTTAGTTCAATTACCTTCAATAGGGAGATAAAACTGAGGTGCCACGTTTATGGCAATATGGGATGTGATTTCCAGACACCATTGGGTAGATACAATTTTCAGACAAAAATTCACTTGAAAATACTGTTAGGTGCGTAACAGCGCCTGCTGCATCCTCAACCAACTCTGAGGGTGGCGCACACCTGTATTCCCAGCAACTTGGGAGGCTCAGGCAGGAGGACCACATATTCAAAGCCAGCCTCAGCAACTTAGCAAGACCCTGTCTCAAAATAAAAAGTAAAGAGGGCTCGGATATGGCTCAGTGGTTAAGCCCCTTGGTCCAATCCACAGTACCAAAAAAAAAAGAACTCTGCCAAATAATTTTCATCAATTAACAAGTGTCATTTCAGAGATGATTTTTTGGGGGTAACGTCTGCCTCAGAATGAAATAGCCACATTTCTCTGTAGCTGGCACTCCTTCAGGGCACAGTGTGATCAGCTCCTCAAAGAGGTAAATGCTTCCTTCCTGAAAGGCTTGGTTTAAGGTGAGGGCTGCGGATGACCCGAAGGGATGGTGACGCACAGAGGCCTTGCCGGTGACCGACCTCCGGGAGCAGGCACACCTGGTTTCCATGGTGGACCAGTGCAGGAGGAACCTGCAGCAGACACACGGTCCCTGCACAGCGGGCACTTCCCTCCACCCACAGGAGTCAGGGTGGGGTCCTCCCTGCTCCACGGCTCAGGGCCACGCTTCACCCTACTCCCTCCCTCAAGTCTTCCGACCTCCAGGCCCTCCCACAACATCCCTCCATGCCACGTCCAAGGTCTCCTCAGTGCGGCCTCAGTGCCCCTTCTGGACAGAGGGGACAGCATCCCTGCCACCAGCCTGCACCAATCCCTCCTGCACGGCCCTGCCAGACTCACTTGGGGCCACGTCCCTAACAGACACGAACTACTTTCTGTGCCCTTGAAACCCTGCGCACTCTACCTGTATTTGCTATTTTCTTGCCTCCTGAACTCTGCTTCCTGCTGATGGTGCTCCATCTCGTGCCTGCTTTATCCTCATGGCCTAAAGCCACACCCACCACAAGTGGCCCCAATGCCCTGTCTCTGTGAAGTGGTCATAGCCTCCCCAGCAGGAGGGGCCCTCCTGAGACTCCCCGGGCTGTCCTGTTCCTGAATGTCTTCAGGCTCCCCTGCGTCCACCACGCTGGCCTCACTGCACATTCTAAAGGGCACATACCTGTGCTGTGTCCCAAGCGCCCAGAGCTTCCGGCACAGGGCACCTGGCACAGGGCGTGGTCCAGAGGGGGATGCTCAAAAAGCGTGGGTGGAACAAACCTGTACACTTTCACATTCTTCTGAGCATCTCGAATATGAGACAGACATACAGCGGCTTCAGACATGACCTGAGTTCTAGTAACGCCTGTCAACCAAACCATACAGCCAGTGCCCAGGCAAACTCGCCACCTCACCCTTCACATGCTTACTGGAGTCTGTTTTGTGGACAGCAATACCTGGCTACAAGGGCAAGGGAAGCAGGACGCCTGTCCTGTAGAGAAAACAACACGTCCATGCACACAGAGCTCCCGACTCGGAGGCACACCACGGAGCGCATGTTTACACTACAGAGACCAGTGGCTCCTCATAATGACAGGATGACTTCGGTTTTAAGCAATCAGGCCGGCTGATCCAGGGTTAGGAAGAAGGGTAAACTGTGCCAGTTTCTGACCCGTGAGACTCTGCCCATCTGTCCACACCATCACTTTGCCTTGCTTAGTCACGGCACTCAGTGATTGGGCCAGCCCAGAAACCAGTGCTGGGCACCTTGGACAAGGTGTGGACATGCAAGGGGGCAGCAAAAGATGTCCCGCAGGGAGGCTCAGAGCTGCCCATGGTGGCACCAGAGCCACGCGGCTGCACGGTAGATGGGAAGAAGAGGGAGTGAGGTGCTTGTAGGTTGAAAACCACATTTGTAGGAAGAATCCCAGTAGGTTTTTCACCAAGAGGATGTGAGGGTTTAAATGCATGGTGAGTGGGAAAAACCAGATTCTCTACACATGGAAAAAGCACATCAGTTGCAATTAGGATTAGACATCTACCTCGAGACTATTCACTACATACCTCAAATGAGAACTCAGGTTCTGACGACCAATACTAGGGGCAAAGGTGGGCACAGCTTGGCACTACAGCAAGACATCACAGGGCCAAAGAGCACGTGACTGACGGGCACCCACACTTAGGTGGCTGGCTTTCATCCTTCTTTTACTTAAGCAATGGGTGTGACCGTCCTGGGCTGGACACTGGGACAGGGTCCACCTTCTCCTGTGAATGGGACACTCAGCAGCTAGTCACGACTGCAATGAACGCCTTGCAGGAGACACAGGCAGCCCCGTGGCGGGGGAGAGGAGGCTGGGGCGGTGCAGAGGAGTCGGGGATGGAGACTAATTAGAACCTCAGTCCTCAGGAACTCACCGTTGACGGGCCGAGCTGCTGTGAGTGAGTTGGAAGTGAGACTCCACGGGCCCTAGGAAGCAGGGAGTTCCCAGGAAGAGAAATGACTTTTAGCCTGAGCACAGGAGAAACCTCTGCTGAGCAGAGATGTGACACAGACCTTGAGAAGAAGGGGGGAGATGCTGTCCTGCTGATGGGGGCCCGGGCAGGGCCCAGGCAGCTGCATTAGTAAAGGGGACAGCCCGGGTGCCAGGTCAACAGGGAGTCTGGGCTTCGTTTGGTCAATTTTTCTTCTTGGAGTCATGCCAATTAGCCAAAATAGGAAACTGTCACTTTCCTGATCAAAACTAAATCACTGAAACAGAAACTAGAGCAGTGGTTGCCTGGAGCTGAGGCTATCGAGGTAACTGTTCAGAGGCTGTGAGCTGTCGACTGGAGAGTGCTGGCTGGGCTGAAATGGGTGCCACCTGCAGTGAGTGAGCATGCCTCCAGGAAGCCGCCTGCCTGTCTGCTTAAAGGAACTGTCACAGATGTAAGCAGACCCCACCAATGGCTCCTCTAGGCAGTCGGCCACACTCCAGGACACCTGGCCCTTTCCCTCGGCGTTTCTGCCCTCTGCCTGTGTGACCCGCACAGCGCACGAGCACTGTGCATCAGGGAGAGCTTTCCGGATGTGGCTCGGCTTCAACCCGGCTAGATGTCAAGCAGGCCTGGCCGGCAGCGAGGCAGGAGTCCTCCTCACTGAACATGCAGGGCAGCTGCTGAAGGCACCCTCCAGCTCTGGCCAGGAGATGAAACCCAGAGCAAACGAGGACTGCAGGTCCCTGTGTGCAGACAGCTCCAGCCTCGGTTCACGAGCACCAAAACCTCGACGATGGACAGGAAGGACTTCCTGCCCTGGGCAGCCCACCCTTCCTCAGCGCCCAGCAAGCACCAGCTTTCTCTCATGCTTGGATTTACTTTTGACAAGCACAGTCGACAACATGGCTTTGGGGACAGCACACAAACCTCAACACAAGTTAAAACCCCTAATCGCTGCCATTAACAATGGACCAGCAAATATGCAATCTTTTAAAATAACAATCCTCTCTCTCTCTGTCCCCCTTCCTGTCTCTGCTTTTCCGAGTTCACTTGGACGTGTCTAACAAGATGAGTCACTCACAGGCAAAGGTCTACAATCTCACAAGTGCAAATAAAGTGACTGGGTCATCGGGCAGGCAGCACACAGGACTGCCAGGGATCAAGAATGAAATCATTAAGCTAATCCCAGAGGCGATCACACAGACAGGCGGGGTAGGGCAGCCGCTCAGCCATCTCTTCACACTGTTCCTGCTGGTTATTTCACTTTGGGGCCTCAGTGTTCCTTAGCTCCAGTTCTGTCTGTTCTGCCTCTATTCACAGGGCACAGGCTTGCTGGCCCTGCTGGCTCTGGTCACTGGACCCTGAAGCTGGCCCCAGCATGCAGCCCCACCCAGAGAGTCGTGCTGCGGCCACTTGTGA